AACTTGAATAAGATGTTTGGTGACCCAAGACAGTTCTTCTACCCACCCATTCCTTCACTCCTAAACAGTGCCTGGGGTTGGGATATCAGAACTGTAAGTAAGCACGCATTATAATATTGAAGGCATAGTTTTTAGTATTTTAGACTCATGTAACATCTACTATAGTAGCAGATAGTATCCTGGTGCTGATGAATGTACAGGATCTGTGATAGGAAAGCAGGACTGAATTCAATGATTGGGCATGCAGGTCTCCCTCTGGACTTGACATCCAGCCATATGTTGCCATCATGATTGCATAGCATTGCAATAAAACAACTTAGGGGGAAAACCATGTGGTTATTGACCTTCTTTGCAGTAGGATAATGACAGATCACTTCAGGCCTGTACAAAGTGCAGTTTTCACTAGCAGGTGTTACAGAGCGACATACACTCCTGTATCCAAATTGCATGGGTGATAGGCAGATAGGCAAGCCAGAAGATGGGAATTGAAGCTGTTGGAGGATATGTAACTACAGATCAGGGGTGGGAATAGTAGAACACTCCAGATGTTTGGCCAATGGTAAGGAATGCTGGGAGCTGCAGTTTAGTAACACCTGGAGGAACACATAATTCCTATCCCTGACACAGAGAGAGAACCTTGTGCCCCTCCTCAGTACCAGGTTGCCTGGACAAATTAACTTGATTGGCTTTCCAGTGTTACCTGGGCCAGGTGAATTCTGGGCTGTCCTACAAAAGTCCGAGCTTGAACATCCAGTGGCTCTCTCCTTCAGCCAGCACCCTAAGTGGCCCATGGAGCCAACATTTGAGCCATCTCACTCCTGTCCCAAATCATATAATTCCTCCTCACGGTCTTTTGTATATTTCTTTTTTCTTTCCATCTTCTCCCTTTTTGTTTAGGGATGGGCCACAGCAAACAGCACCACAGCTGGGTGTTTTCACGGGAAACTCAGCTAAGAAAGCCACCCAGAGCACTTCCAACCAGGTCCTCCTGAAGTTTTACAGTGATGCTGCCAATGGAGGGCTCTTTGCCATCTATTTCTATGGTCTGTACCACTTACTGAGATGCCAGCTGTTACTATCATGTGTGTGTTTGTGTGTTGTCTGTAGATTGCACACAGCATGCCAATATTACCTCTGTTTATAGGCTGAGAAGACAGTTAGTTGAGAAGAGAAACTTAAATTGAACAGAGGAAATAGTGACAAAATCCCACACAGATATGTGCATACACACAGAGGGTGAGAGAAGCACAGTGCAAGAAGTCAAGTCTGTCTCAGACCATAACCATTCTCTCTGTGTCAAACTAAATGTTACAAGAAATAAATATTTCTTAAATTAACCCACTTCCTCTCCCATAGTAAGTATTCCTCAGGGATATATGCATTAGCAATCAAATTTGCAAATTGAGTTTTTCCTTTCCCAACCAAGCACCAAAGATATATAAATAATGACACCCACATAAGTTGATAGGTTTATTCTTTCAGCAATTGGAAGAGCACCTTTGGAATAACAACTACCAAAATCCTATGTATTGTCTAGTTTGATTTTCTGTTTCCAGGCAAAAAAGGGGATATGCAATGCATAATGAAAGATTTTAATTCAGATGGATTAGAGGGTTATATTTCCCATACTGTGGCTACTAGCTTCTCTGCTTCTTTTGAAATGCTCTTTTTTTGGCAGGTGGGTGGGAACAAGAATATTAAACATGAAGAGGCATGGAATCCACATTGTAGCCATTTGGTAACGAATGTATCTTATTCATCTTCCTCTGTTCTCAGCCTACCAGCTTTCTCGATGCCAGCCTCCAACGATGGTTCCCAATGCTGAAGTCATCACTGAGAATGAAGATTACAACATAGGTATAGACTGCCTACCCTCCCTGGGATCTTCTTTGTAATGTTGTCTGCACCCCAGATTATGGGGGCATTCTCCTTGCTCCACCCCCCAACTCAATGGCTTCCTCCTCTGAGCATGTTTGTAGCACCTAAACACCTAAACCTAAATGTAATGCCATGAGTTATATGTGGGAATTCAGATGAAGAGAAACAAGGGAGGGTTAAGTGACTGCAGGAGAGGTAGGGAAGGAGAGAACCAGTGAGTAATTTCAGCTGGAGATGACATTACAAAATAGCTCAATAAAGGACACATTTCTTCCTAAAAATGCAATCCTTACTAAAGGTCCATTGGTCAAAGTGGGTTAGGATTAGGTGCATCCCTCTGCTTCCAGTAGGAATGTTCTTCTGCCATCAGAGCCCATCTCAGAAATCTCAGCCCTCCGCAGCTGATCCCAGGAATCTGCCAAGAAAGCAATCTGCTGGCTAAGATCTGCCAGCAGAAAAGGTTAAAAGTGAGTAGAGAAGCAATGGGAGTGAGAAGAGCCAAGCTGCACCACATCCAGATCTCCTCCAGTCATGAAACACGGCCAGGGCAAGGGTGAGACTTGGATTCAACACAATTTCAACTGGCCTAGTGTAAACTACGTTGACCCCAGCCATCTTGGCCAGCCAGGACTCAGCTCTTACTGTCCTGTTGCACTTCCAAAAGTGATGTTGCTGCAAGGCATCTGTGATGAAAATTATCTGCAGCTCTGGTGAGGCCTGGAGTCCCATCTGGCCCAAGAACATGGTGGAAGAAACAAGGGAGAGAAGTTTTCTGTTCTTCTTTCCATGTACAGTGTTTTCCAGATTTAAGTCAGATTTCAACACCAGGTTTGGGGAAGGCCATTTTAATTCACATGCCTTCCCACAGCTCCTACCTGCAGCTACTCTTACTTCGTTTTGTATTTAAATGCAATCCTATCCCTGTTGTTGTTGTGTGCCTTCAGGTTGTTTGAGACTTATGGCCATCACAGGTTTTTGTAGGCAACATTTGCTCAGAGGAGGTTTGCCATTGCCTTCCCCTGAGGCTGAGAGCATGTGACTTTCCCAGGGGGTTTCATGGATGGGCGAGGAATTGAACCCTAGTCTCCAGAGTCATAGTCCAACACTCAAACCACTACTCCCTTATACAATTTAGTTTTTTCCATAACGTTATAGGACCTCTAATAACTTTCATTAGAGTGTAGGCATTCTCTGTGGTTGAAATGCATCTTCTTGTCACCTTTGCCTTTGCCAGGTGATATTATTAGATACCGGTGTCTTCCTGGCTTCACCTTGGTCGGAAATGAGGTCTTGACCTGCAGACTTGGTACCCACCTCCAGTTTGAGGGTCCTCCCCCAACTTGTGAAAGTGAGTGAGTTTTGGCGTGGAGTAAGTACAGTGCAGATTTATCATTACAATCCATAGACCCATCAACACAAACAAACAACAGACAAAAATTGTGTAATATCAGCTAGGATGCAATTTGACATTCCATAAACACAATAAAATTGGTGTACTCCATGAATACTTTTTAGATACTCTGGCCAATTTTAGGAGTTTCTTTCTCTCGAGGAGAGTAAGTAAATCTGTGCTTATGTCATTCACAATATTTTGGTATTTAAATTTAAAATGACAAACGACAGCTTTACTAAGAATTCCAGTATATCCAGCATAGGAAAAGACAATTCCAATTCAAGCTTGAAATTTTTGAATTTTCAAGTTCTTCCTTGGTTGTATAAGGGGCAGGGGATGCAAACTTTGGTAACTTTTTGACAGAAATGAATGTAAAAAAATTCTCAGCTATCTGTGCTTATCAGATGTAATTTGTACAGTTATTTCCAGAATGAAGGTGATTTTTTTAAAAAAAAACTTTCATGCAGCTATTAAAGATTAGGAACCGCTTAGAGAAAAAGAGATAGCAACATTAATTCAGCAATGCAAACAGGACTGAATGTACATTCTACTGAGATACTAAAGACCCTTACAGATTCAGCCAAAATGGAGAGATTTCTATTGATTGAATCTAACTGATAGCTTATCTCATCTTGACAGCTCAGGGAAAATGGCAATGGTATTAAAAATACAAATGTAAAATTACTGTAAGTTTTCGTCTCAAAGGCTTAGAAGTAAAGCAAGGTCTAAAATTCTGGTCTGTTGACAAATCCATTCCAAAAATGGCAGTCTGAATTGAAAGCTTTCTTCCTTTCCGGGATTGTCTCCATTGTCTGGTTCTCAGAAGAAGAAAGGCCAGTAGGTTAAAGCAGGGGTTGTCCCAAAGATCTTAAATCTTGAACAGGCTCATATTTAGGAGATACAGTCCTTCATTTATTTAAAGAGCCATGCACCATTAAGGCTACATCCACACTGCAGAAGTACTCTGGTTTGACACCACTTTAACTGTCATGGATCAATGCTATGAAATTCTGGGAATTTTAGTTTGTTGTGGCACCAGAGTTCCCAGAATTCCATAGCATTGAGCCATGGCAGTTAAAACTTAATATTGTTTTAAGGGGAGGAAGGGAATGGGATTTGGATATATTGTATTTTAACACTGTAAGCCGCCCCGATTGGTCTCAGAGGGGCGGGATATAAATTATTATTATTATTATTATTATTATTATTATTATTATTATTATTATTATTTATAAAATGGTGTCAAACTGGAGTATTTCTGCAGTGTGGATGCAGCCTAATATTTACTGTCTTGCCATCATTTTCTCTCTGGCCTTGATCCAAAGTGACACCCCATCTCTTTCTCTCTTGTTTTGCAATTAGTTCACTGCCCAATGAATGAAATCCTCACAGCCTCCACCGGTGTCATCCTGAGTCCAGCTTTCATGGGGAGCTACCCCCACTTTCAAACTTGCTCATGGGTGGTCAAGGTGGAGCCAGGCTATAACATCACCTTCACCGTTGAGTATTTCTTGAGCGATAAGGAGTACGATGAGTTTGGGATCTTTGACGGTGAGTTTGTTAGAGCAGCCATTGTTGTTGTTGTTGCATGCATTCAAGCCATCTCCAACTCATGCTGATCCTAGGGCGAACCTATCATGGGGTTTTGTTGGAAAGTTTCTTCAGAAGGGGTGTGCCATCCTCTGAGGCTGAGAGACTGGGACTTGCCCAGGTCATCCAGTGGGTTTCATATCCAAGCTGGGAATTGAACCCTGGTCTCCAGAGTTGTAGTCCAACGCTCAAACCACTGTGCTATGATGGCTCTAGGGCAAACATTGCTCAGGTTATATAGAAAGAAGGACATGTCAAGAGAGAAGTATGTTGGTGGATTATAGAATTATGAATTGTGTTGAGAGGAGCAGAGAGGGCTTTTCCTTCCTTACCCAGGGGTTGAGTTGGAGACCTGGGATGTTTTGATTGGGAAGGTCTATAACATCATTTGCACCCTGGACTACCCTTTTGTCTCTGCAATCTTCACAGTAGCAAATGGGTTTACCCCAGGCACAGAGTGCTGATCTAAGCTTGTTTGGGCTTGGCCATAGTGGGCAAGATTACCTTTACAAAAGACGTGGACCTATTGGAGATGCAGACTGTTGAGAACTTGTGGGGGGCGGTCTACACAGTTCTGTGCATTTCTGGACTCTCTTTGGTCCCTCTATAAGGACTGAGAGGGGATGAAAAGGAAAACAAGCATTGGAGGGTAGTACAGGGATTTAGGGAGCTTATGGGGGTGTTTGAATGTGTTTTTGCACATGGGGGGGGGCCTTTCTGCCACAAAAGTAAGGTCCAGGAAATGCACACAGCCATGAACCATACCATGCCCACCCTTGGACTAGATGGACCAATGGTTTGGGTCAGTAAAAAGCAATTTGCCATGTTAATAATTTCTGGCATAGGCCAGAAAATGATATTTAGATGTTTTCAAACTGTTTATCTTATTTATTTTTTTCTTAAAGGTCCTTCAGGCCACAGTCCTCTGCTACTGTCTCTAAGTGGGAATTACTCTGCTCCACTAACCGTAACCAGTACCGGCAACAGAGTCTATCTCCACTGGTCCTCTGACCATGCCTATAGCAGGAAGGGCTTCAGGATCCGCTATTCGGGTCAGTAAAGGATGTGGCACAAGGGTTGGTACATAAAATAGTGATGAGCTGAGCAATGTGTGTGTTTTATTTGCATTTATTTTGCTATTTGTTTATGTTTGGCATGCTGGAATTATTCAGAGAACCTGCCTATTGTGTACAAAATCAACCCAAGTTTCCTTGGCTAGCTCATGTATTCTTCCTCCTCTTTTCTGTCATTGAGATTACTATCCAAAGTACCCTTTTTTGAATGTCACTTATACATTTGTTGGGGAGTGTGATCTCCAAGTGAACGTGCTTAAGTGGGAGTGCACTGTAAATGGAACATCGTTCAAGCTTCTACCTTCCCCATTGTGTTTCAGTTAATTTGGTTAAAGGAGGAGTAGAAAGACTGGCCAAAAAAAAAATAAATGGCATACTAATCAACATGATAAAGCACCAATTCAATAATCTACAAGAGAAGCTGAGTGCATAAAATCAAGACACCATTATTTATTCCTGATTCGTTTTTCTGGGTTTAAGGGCAATTTCATGCTACGCAATGATAGTGCTATGATTCCACTTCAACAGCCATGATCCCATCCCATGGAAACCTGGAATTTGCAGTTTAGGTATTAAGACTTCTCAACCAGAGAGCTCTAGTGCCTTCCCAAACTACAAACCCCAGGATTACATAGGAGGCAGCCATGGTGGTTAAAGTAGAATATCACACTATCAGTGTGAAAGGTTCTCGGGAGTCAACAAGGTATGCAATTAACTCCACAATCCTAAGGTTATGGGGACTTTCCCCCCTTGTTCTTGCATCCTTTTCTCATTCATGCCTTCCAACTGTCCTGGGCCCTGTTTGCACAAGCCAAATAAACCAGCCTCCTTTTGACAGGGAAATCAGATGATGCAGGGCCCAATCCCCAAGTCCGACTTGAATGGTCCAAACAGTGTCTGGCCCATTCAGTGTCAAACACAGAATATACTCCTCTTCCAGGAAGATCTGGAGCCTCTGTTCATGCATCAGGCTCCTGTTTGAAACACGTCCCACTGTGCTGTCCGGTGCAGCCCCCATAGTGGTGCATCACTTGCTCTGAGGTCAGAACAAGGTTCCTGACCATGTTACCAATACTGGACACCTTGTTCTAACCTCAGAGTCTTATTAGCTTCCAGCCTTCTTTCTCTTTGCCCAGAAAAGGGATGGGTGGCCTTGCCCAGGACAGAAACACCCTGGATCTCAAGGGAAGTTACTTCTTCTGTTGCTAAGGGAGTTTGAATTTTATTGCTTGGGTTTTATGATTGTCTCCCAGATCCCACAATGGCCAAAGAGAGGAATGGCCCCTGCTTGCATGGCTATCCTTCTCTGGACCATCTTAACTGAGAACAACAAAAATAACATCTTGACAAAACGTAGGCCTGTTGTCAATTTTTCTCCTCCTCTACGATTTTTAAACCTTTTGCCTGATGGAGAAGCCAGTGGTGCTTCAAAAGTTTGCATGATGTATTTTGTGCAATTTTGATTGGCCCAATAAAGGTACTGCTGTCTTGTGGGCTTTGGATGTTATTGCACTTTGCTATATGCCCAACACAGCTACCTGTGGATATGCAACTTTCTTCTGAAGCTTCTGGGGAAGGGGATCAAAATGACACTATACATAGTGCAAGATAATTGCCCAAGCTTATTTGTTTTTGCTTTTGTACCTCTGAGTAATAGGTCGGGGGGGAGACTATAATTAATTGTGATGTTGTTGCCTTCAAGAAAGAAAGAAAAGAAGAAAAGAATGGGCTTTTTCCGAAGCGAAACAGTAACTAGTTTTGCCATTAACATTCTCAGTGTGGGCATTTTGTACTGGTCCTGGTTTCATATGAAGTTTAATTACTCCCCCTGTATAAAAGCAATTACAGAATGTTTGGCAAAGAGTCCCTTAAAATTGAACAACCCATTCTTGGAACGAAGCAAATTTTAATTACTTAATGAAAAGCAATCAAACTCAAGACAGGGACACATATAAATGTGTCATAAATAAGTTAATGCTGTTATTCCGTAAATGAATGAATTAATATTTAATTGGCAGAAATTATGTTTTGGTTTCACTGCTGAATGAAAGCCAACAATGTTTGCTTTGTTCCTCTGAAATTGTTTGTGGTTTCTTTTCATTTCCTCGCTGCCTTTTTAGAGTCCCAGACAGTTACATGGCACCCTAAAGGTTCAGAAAACAGGGAAATAAAAGGAGGGGAGGAAGAAAAGCAGGAAATGGCCCATAATTATGAGAGAAAAGGACAAGAGTTTAAAAATAAATTAATTCAAGGAATATAATAGTAGCGGCAAGGCTGTGGTGTCCTATGGCCCTTTAACACATCACAATTACAGCGCTATGATTCCACTTTTATCTGTCATGGTTCCACTTTATGGACTCCGGGGATTTTTGGTTTAGGAAAGAATTGTTCAGAATTCTCAGCCAGAGAGCTCCAGTGCCTCAAAAGATCATGGTGTGGCCATGGCGGCTAAATGGATATCAGACCACTATAACGTCTAACGTAAGAGGGATTCTAGTTTCAGATCTTTTAAACTAAAACAGAAGACAAAACTGTGAGAGAAGTCAAAAGACAGCCAAGGGAAATTTGGGCAAATTCTTTCTCCTAATGGAACAGGTTTTGTTTTCTTGGCTCAACACATTCAGCCTATATCAATAATAATAATAATAATAATAATAATAATAATAATAATAATAATAATAATAATAATAATTTTTATTTATATTTCCCGCCTCTCTCTATGGATCAACGCGGGATTACACAATTAAATGAATACAATATGCAAAATACAAACAATAAAATAGTAAAATCAAACAACAGTAATACATTATAAAAGCATCAAATATAATATAATAAAATAAATAAAAATAGAATAAAATAAAATAAAATAGCCGATCATCATCAGAATCTAGAAATCTAGAACAGATGGATATGCCCACCAGAAGAGCTCCATCTTAAGTGCTTTTTTAAAGGCATCTAGCGTAGTAATAAGACGAATTTCTTCTGGTACGCCATTCCATAACATTGGAGTTGAGGTGGTGTACGATCTTTGGGAAGTCGTATTTGATGTATTTGACACCCAGTACAGATCATTTTATTATACCATCCCCTTCTCTCTTCAACAACCTTTTCGAGTCTGGTAGAACTGCTGTCCAGATGGGAAAGGGAGGGGATTCACATTCCTGCTCCACCAGTAGAGCCACCAGACCCAGAAGACACCCCAGTCCCACCAGCACACTGAGTGATAACCCCTCTGAAGCGTCACCCAGTGCGACCCACATTCCTGCACCCCCTTAGTGACGCCTCTGCCTGTAGATCCTAGTGTGCAGTAGTTTTCTAATCAGTATTTTGCTTTTAATAATAATTTACTGTGCCATCCATCCCCAGAGCATCTAGTTCAGGGGTAGGCAACCTTTCCCCTTTAAGGGCCGAGGGACTTCAGCTCCCAGAATCCCAGGAGCTATTGGCCAACATGGGACTATTGGCCAACATGGCTGAGGCTTCTGGGAGCTGAAGTCCCTCGGCCCTTAAAGGGGAAGGGTTGCCTACCCCTGATCTAGTTGGTGATATGGTTGGCAGGTATCTGAAGCTTTTCCTTTTCCATTTTTTTCAACTGGAGTTGTGGTTGATATTAGGGGGTTTAACTGCAAGATTGTAATGGACTGGGGAAAAAATCTTTTGTTGCATTATGTAAGCTACCTGGGGGATGTTTTAGATGGGAAATTGGAGTAGAACGCATGTGGATCTGCTCAACAAGATTCAAAGGCAAGCAATCAAGATATTGAAGGATTTTTTTAAAAAAAAATAAAAAGAAGAAGAAGCTAAACCAATGAAATTGTGCTAAGCCATTGAGTTATAAATAAGCTTCCATGTAGCACTCTTCAAGTGTATGGTATTTTAAAGAATATCAAGAAAAGAAAGAAAAATACATGTTACTATTCCCAAGAATCTTACCAGATAAACTGACATTTTTGGAAGGTTTGGATACTCTCCAATATTCCACAGGTGAAAACTGGGACACATGTGGCTAAGCAATATCGGCACGTGGTGAAGAAGGCAAAAGTGATTAATGAGGGAGAACAGAGAAGTGAGGAGATGCTGCAGCATTTTGCTTTTGTCTGAGCCTATTGGGAAGGGCAAGATTTTGTTCTCTCTCCTC